ATGCTACACAATCACAGACAAAAGGATTTGCACTGCAGACTATAAATGACTGTTCTTTTTCAATTACACTTGACAGATCTAACTTATTATAAATGAAACAGGTTTGGAAAGGGGGAGAGCAGTAACAGTGAACCAGAGAACAGAATGTAACTCAAAAAACACCACAAAAATCTCATCAGATCCTTTTCTTTTTTAGCTGGGAGTGGAAGACCATCTTTTTCACTCTTCCATCCTTGTTCATCCCCTTACTCTTCTGCTTGAGCTGGTTTGATTCAGATTTAGGGCCCCCATTCATTCCAATTAGATGGCTTTTCTGTAAAGCTGTTTAGCAAACCCATGCCATGCTCCCATTGACAGGTTCACTGCTTTCCAGAAGAGTAATGGATTTCCCACATACCACAGAAGGTCCTTTCTTCAGCAGTGTCCTCCGCAGCACAGAAACATTTAGTAGTTCTGTTAAAGCAGTGTCTCTGACCCAAAGAAAGATATTTTGCTGACCGTGAACTCTGGCACTCAGTTTGATTTGCAGCACTGCAAGCAAAGCTCCCAAACACAAGTTTCTGTACAGTGGCCTGTGAATAAGCAACAGGGAGCAGGTCAGCCACAAGAACCATCCTCAGCTCCTTGCCTGCAGACTGGGAAGCAGCAGGCTTTGGGTTCCTTAGTCTATAAGGGCTTCCCTAGGCTGAAGTTTGTTTTAAGGTTGACGTTTCTTCCTAGCCCTACCCTTCTGTCTCACCTTCCTTGCTTCTGAGTGGCCACCAAGCACAGTCCTGCTAAGCAGCCATACTTATTAAAAATTTCATTTGTTCATTTATGCAAACAGTTTTACTACAACTGCATCCTCCATTTGAAATCCAATAGAATTTGCATTGCTTTTGCTTGCAGTCCTTAACACGTTGTCAGCACTCCCACTGAAGCAATTGTGTGGAAAATAAGAGTAGCTTCTTCCAGTTCTGGCATTTGCACATTTTTATGAGATGCTGGAAAAGCAGTTGGATGTTTTTTTTCCCTGCAAACATTGAGACAATAGTAAGAGATTCATTGAGTTTTGACTTGCCTCAGAACCAGATGTTTCTGACATGTACCATGTCTCAAATATGTTACACACTCCAATACTCTTCTTATCGAGAGCTTAAGCTTTTTGCAGTCTCCTCTCCCCATTAACATGCAACAAGACTTTCAGACTTTCCTGACCACCAGTTTATTTTTGCATACTGTTCCCTTTTCAGGGACATGCAGAGAACGCATCAGTGTGTGTGAACTTTGTGGGTAATCTGTCAGCTAGATATAGTGACTGACATGCAAAGAAAGTGTTAAGGTACTATGAGTATCGAAAATAAATGCTGGGCAGATTAGAGGAAATGCACACCAAGTACCTTTCTTTTTTCACTCAACCAAGAAAGCAATCTAAATAACAAACACATTCAGTGATCTCCAGTGGGTTTAGCCTTACAGTGACTGTAGTTGTAATTCAACTTTTAGAGTCAATGAACAATGCAGGTGTAGGTATAATGCTGTTCTACTCCCCAGTTCAATTTTCAGGACTAGCTGCTGACTATGGGAACCTCTGCAGCTCCACCTTCTCTAAGTCTTGATTTAGAGCATGGGTAGTGCCATTAGTGCCACACAGGTGGAACCAAGAAGAATTTCCACCATAGAGCTCTCCTCTACACTTCCAGCAAAACAAAACAGCACACTAGGCTCGAGTTTGGAGCAAGTTCTTATATCATCTGGATTAATTTTCTTTCAGTATTATTGCCTTAGAAGTGGCTCTAATAATGAATACTTCATTGTTGCTAGGAAGTTTCAGAAGGGGAGGGCAGTTTAAAATTATTTGAACAATTATTATTGTAAAGCAAGCTGAAAATCATTCTACATGTTTGGGAGATCCTCCTAGTTCAAGAGCTGTTCAATGTGGGACATGCCTGGTGGGACTCTCCTGAGGCATAGATGATTGTAGCTTGTTTGATGGAACAAAGATATAGGAATATCCTTGTCTGTTCATGGAGTGCATGCTAGCTGCTCATTTCATCCTGGTGTTTTGCCAATATCAACTGTAAAACAAGCTTATACAAAATAGAATCATAGAATGGTTTGGGTTGGAAGGGACCTCGAAGATCATCTAGTTCCAACCCCCCTGCTATGGGCAGGGACACCTTCCACCAGACCAGGTTGCTCAAAGCCCCATCCAACCTGGCCTTGAACCCTTCCAGGGATGGGGCATCCACAACCTCTCTGGGCAACCTGTGCCGGTGTCTCACTACCCTCACAGTGAAGAACTTCCTCCTTACATCCAATCTAATTCTACCCTCTTTCAGTATAAAGCTATTATCCCTTTTCCTATCACTACGTGCCCTTGTAAAAAGTCCATCTCCAGCTTTCTTGTAGGCCCCCTTTAGGGACTGGAAGGCTGCTATAAGGTGTCCCCAGAACCTTCTCTTCTCCAGGTTGAACAACCCCAACTCTCTCAGCCTGTCATCACAGGAGAGGCTCTCCAGCTCTCTGATCATCTTCATGGCCCTCCTCTGGACCTGCTCCATCAGGTCCAGGTCCTTCTTATGTTGGGGGCCCAGAGCGGAACACAGTACTCCAGGTGGGGTCTCATGAGAGCAGAGTAGAGGGGAAGAATCACCTAGTTTAGATCCAGCTGAGTCCACATTAGCATCTTATGACAAATGCATGAGACAACCCATTGTGATAGTTCTGAGTAGAATACTGCCAAACAGTGAATGGAGAATGAAAATTGAGATTTATTATGTTTAAAATGGACTTTTGACCAGGAAGATCAATGACTGCATTTTTCTGTGCAGATTTACAGGCCAAATGAATCCCTGGTTTAACCTCTGAACTCAGGGGGTTTCATCAAGAGAGGAATTTGTCTATAAGGGTCATGCATGTGCATGCTTTACAGGCATTACAAGATTGAAGTTGTTTAAACCTAGAAGATAAAGAGGAAGACCCACAAGAAGTTGGATAGGGAAATGAGCCTTCAGAATACTACTAGCTGACCATCAGACAGCAATTGATATGCTAAACAACAGTACACAGGAAAGGATGAAGTCCAGAAAGAAAAAAACAGATGTCCCTGAAGAATTAGCACAACTGAAATGTGTGGTAGCTGTCTGCTCTCAGGGTCACTGATGACCATGGGAACTTATATTCTGCATTACCTTCAACAGAAGACCCGGTCCTTGGGCAGCTGACTGGTTAGTAAGTGGCTGACACTTTTCTTCCACTTCCAGATTAGTATTGCCTTCTCCTCACCTCAAGTTATTTTTCAACATAGCACTTGCTGTAGCTGCTACAAAAAGATGAGATGAACCATGTCATGCCAAACAGCTGCACCAGCTGTGAGCAGAAGAATCATGCAGAAAATACAGATTATAAACAAACTGGAACCCACTTCCAAATTTCAGGATTTTAGAATTCCTACAGCACTCAAATATACACTCATCATACATACCCACAGGGTAAATACTTCTGTCTTCAAAAGCTATAAATGATTTAGAAGTGAAAAAGCTAATACAACTACCAAATGTAACACTAATAAATATTGAAAGCTGGCACTGATACCACATTCAGGGCGCAGTGGACTCCAAACTGATTCTTCACCCACAGTGCACATTGCCTTTCCTTCCTCCCAGCTGGCATTAGTAAAGTAGCAACAACCTTAATATCAGGTTTTGTTGCTGTAAGCCAGACTCGTAGCAGCATTTAAAACAAGACTGCATTTAATAAAATTGAGCTATTTTCCGGCTGTTTGTAAAAAAATGAAACATGATCTAACATTAAATAAACTAGATGATGCAGGTTTTTGAGGCCAAAATCCCATTCTTACTAGATTTTTTTTTTTAAAAAATACACTAACAATGACACCCCTTTGTTCATTCGGACTGGTTTCTGGGAATGCAATGACCAAAGTTTTGCATCTGTTTGCATATAAAACTAGTAATTGTTGAACATGCAAGTCGGAGCTTACAATCACAGATGAATGTTTGTTTATTCTTCTGTAATTGGTATTACATTAATACTAACTAGGATCCAAACCCTACACATGGTACTACAGAAATGTAACAGATGCTCTGTTCCAAGGATCTCGGTTTGAAATTGAGTCTAATGCTTAACAGTAGACTAGGAAAGTCCCTTAAGGTATCAGTTGTTCTAAAAAAAATGAAAGCCATTTTTATGAATCACATTGACCTTTCTGAGCTGTATTCTTCTCAAGGGAAATTTTGTTTCATTTAGAGGAAACATTACCATTCTATTTGAAAGTAGCACAAGGATTTTTCTGAAGTGTCAGAATTTTCTTTGGAACAGAAAGTCTTCCTGATATTACCAAACAAACAGAAAATCTTACTGATATAATCCAAAAAGCTACAAAAGTGAAAGAAGTTAAAAGTGTCTTATCAATACAAATGGCCTTTAGTCTATAGTTATTATTTATATCTTTTAATCTCTTTCTGAAAGGTGTGGAAGCATCATATGTTATCTGTGCCATCTGTGAAACCTTATCATAAAGTCACTTCTTGCCCCCTCACCAGTTTCCATCACCACCTAATTGTGCAAATACGTTAGAAATTTCTGAGGGTGGAGATCCTCACACAGAAATACAATCTGGAATTTGTAGATCAAAACCTGATTTAAATAAAATTAATTTTTTTTTTTTTTTAAGAAGCTGGCTGTTAAAAGCAGAGAGCAGAGCTATAAATGTAAATACTTTAAGCTAAGTCTCTCAGGTACAAAGTGATGTGCAGTCCTAAGAAGTCCCCGAAGAGCTTTCAGTGTTTGATGGCCCATGGGACAAGAGGCATGGGTTGGTAACTGTTCTAACGAGTTTACTGGACTGTCATAAGAAGCCACTGTCATGAGAAGCGATCCAGCGCTCTGTTTTTTGAATAGGAGGTGAGGGAGGGTATGCTTCCCCACCATCTAACATCTTTGTCAACCAGCCAAAAAAGCATGGATTAATTCCTTTTCCACTTTTGCTTCTCACACAGGCATATCATAGGCAAGTTTCCAGACTACCCCACTGAAGAGGCAGGAGGTTCAATGGCTATTCTTTCTCAAAAAACTCCAGAGCAGGTACTGTCACCCTGTTAATGAAAAAGATAAATGGGATTGGGAAGGAATTGCCACAAAACATGTCTGTTTTAAGTAGCAATTTTTCATGACAATGGCCTCTTGTATTCCAGGAACCTTACAGTTAAAAAGCCTTTTGCTGCAAGTAAAAGGATTGTTTTCTTCCAGGGTAAACCATGGAAGTCACATACCAAAATTTGTTCTCTTTCAGGATGTGCACCCACTTAGTCATGGCAGAAGGTACTCAGGCACGAAAGTTACAGACAGATAAATGTCTGAGGGAGCTAAGAGGAAAGGGCTCAGCTGCAAAGAGTTGCTCTCCTGTTGCAAAATCCAGGTTGTTAGACTGGTGCTAACTACTAGTAGAAATATATATTAAACAGTTTAAAGACCCTCCGTTTAAAATAGGCCTCCAAAGCTACCCCAGAGGCTGAAATTGGTTCCAGTGTGTTTGCATTCTGTATCAGCACAGTCTAGCAATAATTAGTTTAAGCAGAGAAGAGTTTCTTATGCAGGCAGGCCTAAACCTTGATTTACTGCCAAGGATCCATTAAGCGAGCTTGAACATTCAAGTGAAGGAGGTATGTTTCTTATGTATTCTTGTTGTTAACTCAGTTGTTTTTCCTGGTAAAATCCCTCTTTTGACTTCTCTGGCTAGTAGAAGTGGCTGGTAATCTCTTCCTCTGATCATCTGGGTGTCACACTGAGAAAGTGATTAAGACCAGTTGAGACAGTAAAGGCAGTGGTCAGCACTCAGAGCCGTTTCTACCCACCACAATGATCTTAGCAGGATGATGAGTCTGTTGAGGGAAATTATAAACAGGAAGCCCTGCACACAGGAGCAGGATTTGGCCCCTGAGTGAACCAGGCATGGTGGCTACCAGAGGGCTAGGAAAACTAACTGGTCAAAACCTAACCTCACTAGTCCTTAAAGCTCCCCTGTTGAGACAGACTGTTGTGTTCATCAGCTGCCTGAACTGATGATCTGATGCAAGTATGGTAAAACAATATTTTTGGATTCACTCCTTCCTGGAATCATAGGGAAAAGCCTGGGGCATATTAGCAGTCTCTGTGTGGTTTGAGGGGTGGTAAATACAGACTAGCCCAGCATAAAGCACAGTACTCTAACCATTTCTTACTTTGCTTACAAAAATATGCAAGGAAACTGCTACAAGCAGCTCTCCATGCCTCTCTAAAACGAGCTCAGGGCATGCTCCTGGTTTTAGCCAAGTTCAGAGTATGCCAAGGTCAACCCTGCTGGCCTCTGTGTCTAAGCCACTCAGTTGTTCAGTCCCAGACAGAGTGAAGGAGACCCACAAGTTAAGTTTTCAGCTTCTAAAGTAGAAACGCCGAGTCAAGAAGGCTTTGTTGGCTGCACTGAGCAGCAGGGGAGCCACCCAGCAAGTATGGCTTATTTCTGGAGGAGACTTTAGGGAACATGATGCTAATTAGACCTGCTACCACCAGCAAGGATAAACACAACTCAAAGAAAAATGTTACAAGAAATTATACTGAGCAAAACTGGATATGGTAGTAGATTCTGGAGAAATATATTCTTCCTGTCCTACTCCCAGCTTTGAATTCCTACCTTCAGCTATTTTGCTGTTGTTCCAGGGCATCTGCTTTCTCTTTGCATAAAAAAAATATAAATGAAGCCAAAAGTCTAGAGAGATTGCTTTACTACCCATTTTCCCTGCATAAAAGAAAAATACCTGGAAGAAAAAAAAATTGCCTCTCTTTTCCCAACAAATTTTCACTAGCAATTATCTGATTTTCAAAGATTTTTGGTTCTGTTTTTTCTCCCTTTTTAGCCAGCACAACTGAGAGCAGAATGCATGTAATATAACCTTAACAGATATGCAGGATGCATTTGGCAAAAGAAAGTTCAGTACGATCATGATTTTACCTGAATGTCAGAGAAGTAAAGCATTTTTTGTTCAACTGAGTCAGCTACATATTAAAAATCCCCAAGGCAACTGGTTTTGTTCCACACTGGTCTACTGGGCAACATAGTAAATGAAATCCTGGCCCCATTGAAGTTAATGGGAGTTTTGTCCTTGACTTCAGGGGAGACAAGATTTCACCTCTTGTATATATTAGCTTCTGTGAATGGGTTGGTTACTCCCAAGTTAAACTCCATGAAAAATCAAGACTGAACTGTATTTAAAAAGTGAGCATTTTATAAGACTTAGGTAAAGACACTTTGGGGAAAATAAAATACAAATTAATCACTTCACGAACCATTGCTGCATTATTATATATTCTATATTTCTTTATCCTTTGACAACTCTGACCTTACTTGACTTTGTAATGTAGCTGGCCTTCCACACAACCTGCTTTCATGACATTTTACAAATACCTTTCAAAAAGATATGCCAAAGAGATCCCAATGCAAAGTACTTGGTGGTTTACTCAGAAGAATACGTACAGTCTCTTGACTGAAAAGAAGCTTTTCTCTACTTTACATACTCTTCAAGAGAAATTTAAGATTGTGAGACATCAGTGTAATCTCCCTGCATCTGTTCAGTTGTCTATCCCTAATGTTTTTTTTATGTTTTGCTCTGAAGATAATCATCAGATGTGACAATTTTTAGCTTTGCCCTTATTCTGCTGCCAACAAAATTATGATCTCTTCCTGTAGTTCGTTAAGTCTCATCATCATGAAAATAAGCCAAGAGAGCTGCCATTTAGCAGGCATTCCCCCTCTCCCAACTTCCCCTCATTTCCAATATTAAATAACTTATCAGGAAAAAAAAAGATGCTTACTTACCAAGATTTTGGTTGTACATTCAATTGCTGCATGGAGGACAAAGTCATTTTCACATTACTGTAATCGCAGTATCTGATCCAGCAGCACCTAAAGAAAGGGTGAGAAAAAGTATGTGTTAGCTGCTGTGCAAACATATACTCCTGATCCTCGCTTAGCACTCTGTGCAATACTGTGCTGCTAATTAGTATTCATTATTACCAACACCTAAAGATCCCCATGAATCCCAGTAATCAGTTTGATTGTAAATGGCAGTGCGAGAAATCCCCAGTAGTTAGTTAATATTTAGTTAGTAACCCTGACTATTTCCCAGGTAGGGACAGTAAAATGCTTTTATGCAATCAGGTACTGCAGTATTCACACACAGACACACAGACACGATCTTACTTGTTTTTACCAAATGAATGTATCACAAGTAGCTTTAAAGTGTCAGAGAAGGACTCAAGAGGCTCTGTGGAGTTGTACTTTTTTGTATCCAGCATTTTGCAAATATGCTTTTATCCTGACAGCAAATACATGAAGTATACTTTTCAGTAATAGAAGTAGATGCCTACAGTTATGCTCACCTTTATTTCCCGTTTCACACTATTCTGGATGCTCCTTGTAGAAATTATCAGGCTGGATTTTCACAAGTGATAAACACACAGTGCCATCAGCTGGAGCTGGGCACCTCAAAGCCTTAAAATGTTGTGATCATTTCAAGTTAACCATACAGGAGGACAGAAATAGTACTCAGTCTCTGTTCAGCTACGCAACAGGCAGATGTGTTCACCTCCAGACAACAACTCACTGCAATGAAGCCATTCAGCAGGTAGACTCCTAGTCCAGCGGCTCTCCACTACCTATGATCATGATCTCTTTTGGCTGAAGTCAGTAGTCTAGATTGTATGCCTAAAGCCAGGCAGTATCAACAACCCCTTTTCACCTCTACCACCCACCTTCCCCCCCAAAGCAACCACAAAACAAAACCCCACACCAAGGAAAGCTAACAAATTTTTCATAAACGAATTAAATGGAGACCAACGTTTTGAAATGTTTGCCAGAAAATGAACAGAACAGCGAGGGAGTTAAACTGGTGAGTTAAACTACACTTGAGCAACATCTGCCAGATGGAAAAAAACCTAGAGCATGTTATCAACCATGGACTGAAATGCTTGGCAGTCTTGTTAAAGCCAACCATAAGATTTTGCAAGATCCCATAAAGCTATGAAATCACACTCAATATTTTGAATTAATTCCTGCAAGAAACAGATCACTGGAGTTGTTTTAAACAGCTTAAACTTTGCTTGCAGGTGCACACCCAAAAATAAACAACACTCAGAAATACCTTGCCAAGAGAACGCTACATTATTAAAAGCTACACAAGCGGATTTGCCTGTAAGAGGGAATGAATTCAGAACACTGGCCCTCTGCTAGCTAGATTGGGCAGAGTCCCAGGCCTACCGTGATGAAAATAACATCTCCTCCAACTGACAAAAAAGTAATATCACCTTACAGGAATAATGAGCCTATAGAAAGGGTTGCAATTAAGTGTCCTCAAGCTAGGGGTGCAGAACAGGGGGAAGCACATTTACAGCATACTGCATGTTATGTGCAAGTGATGCAAATAGGCAGTCCAACGTTTGGCATGCTGCTCTGCAACATGGGGATGACATCCCTTCCCGTCTCAAACAGTCCTGTTTTCTTGAACAGGAACATGTCTTTTGTTAGATTCCAAAACAGCTTCTTCCTGTAGAGTTAATACTCAAAAGACAACAAATTTTCTCTCCAGGAACACTTAGGCTATGTACATATAAAGTGTTTCTGTTCCAAATGGTTTTAGAGCTAGGCTCTGAGACTGGCTCTCATCTGCCACAGCTAGAGATCAAGAATTCCCAAACTCTCTCTATCCCTGCTTTTCATTTATGCCCACAACACTAGAAGGCAAGAAGTTCAAGTAAGGTCTTCTTTCAAAGGATGAAGGAAGGGCTTATTCTTGAGGAAGAACATTTACCTCAAGTATCAGCTTGCTTAAGCCAACACCAAGCTTCCTATGGCTGAGGACAGCAGAACATAAGCAAGTCCTACTAGCATCTAGAGGTTTTCATATATTTGGCTCATGTAAACCAGTATCAGGCATTTCCATTCATAGGCTGTGTTCTGTTTTAGTGCCCCTCTCTTTCCCAAAAAAGGGGATTTGCTCTGCAAAAGTTGGGAAACACACTTGAACTGATGTATGAATAGAAAAGTCAATTTG